GAGAAAACAAGATTATGCAAAGCTATGCTAACTTAATTCATAGAATTATTAAGGATGGATACTTTATCATTCGTGGTATGGAATCTGATATCTCAAAAAGTTCAGGTCACTGGATTCAGTTGTATATTAGAGCCCCATGTCTTTCTATTCTGTCTTAAAAAATCCCATACATTTCACTATTCTTCCATAATAGATAATATATACTGTTCAGAATGGGCTTAACTAACAAAGTATGTGTGTCCATATGAGGTTCTATAAAAATATTTTCACAGCAATATTTTTTCCTTTAAAATAACATCAGGTTTGAGAAAATACTTCTCATAACAATTTATTTGTTGGTAATAAAAAACAAGTTAAGAGTTTCTTCTGGCGTCAGGAAACTAAATTTTATACTGAGAAAATAAAAACCACAGAAAAGATATTTTCCCAGTAATGTTTGCAATTCTTTAGTTTTTTAATTACATAAGACTCTGTTATGACATTTTATTCCTGTTTTCGTTTGGCTTTGCCAGGGGAGAGAACAGAATCTTCACTAGAATTCATTCTCTCAAGAATTATAACATTAAATATTTTCTCATAAATTTATAGCATGAACTTAAATGGTCTTTAAATTGTCCCATATCATACATTCATCTCCTAAATCTATCAACCTCATTCTTTCAAACTGTGTTAGGGCCAAACCATATGTTATACTCAAATATATTCTTTTAAAAGTCAATGGGGACTCTTTTAAGGAAATAGAAGAATAAGTGTGCAGTCCAGAAGAACTAGGCAAGATTTTATAACTGAAGAAGAACGACCACTGAATATGTCAAAAACACGAGCAAGAAGGAAGTAGAAATAGGGTGTTGTTTTTTTACTGATTTTTTTTAGCTCATTAAAAATTACAAGTATAAAAGTTGGCTTTGGGGAACATAAAACGTAATCTGGAAAGGAAAGGAAATATACATCTTCAGTCTTTTGTGGCAATTTACAACCATGCTATTTTTTGCTTTGTTTTGTTCTGTTCTGTTTTGTTGGCATCCTCTTCTCTCTCTACTGAGTAGAATCATTTAATGAGTGTACTAATATCAAATGCTTTGGAGTAAATGAGACCTGGCTTTGTTGGAATGCCAATGAGGATACATGAAACAGCATTAACCTCCCTTAGCAGAAATACTTCTCTACATTGTCAACGCTTCCAGCAGAAGAGGTTTGTTATGGACCCTGTCTGCTATGCAATTCTGGCAGGTGGGGTTAGGAAAAAGGGCTTTTTCCTCTGAGGCTCTGACCTGTGGAACACTGTACCCCTGAAAATGAGAACTGCTCCCAGTCTTTAGGGCTCTCAGAAGGATATTAAAACTTGATTTTGCCAGTTGGCTTGGGATCACAAGGGAGGCACTCAAATTGATTGATGGGATCATCCCCATCCTATCTGTCTCCTTGGTTCTGGTTTTCTGCATACTTTTAAATTTTTAATGTGCATAGTTTTAAAACTTTTAATTCCTTTTCAGTTTATCCTTTCATGTTCTATTAGCCACCCAGAATTGTCCTATTGGAAGGATAGGCGGCATATAAGTTTAATAAATAAATAAGTAGCAGCAAATAAACTACTTCATGAAAAGTACTCTCATAACAAGGTCAAATTCAGATAGTTCAAATCCAGACCACATAATTTTGAGACTACTTGCCAAAGAACGTTATAGCAAGTACTTCTAGCTTAGAGCCATTGTAATCATATTGCAAAACCTGTTTCTCCTCTCCTGGATAATCAGGGGACACCAGAGGGATTTTCTGATGCCACCAATTAGTATAAAGCCATCAGATGTTCTTTCTTTCCTCAGACTAAATGAAATGGCATTAGTGTGCAAATTTCTTCCTCTGAGAATGGCACTAACTGTAAGCCCATGAAACTGTAGGATTTAAATTGGGGTGGAAAGCTAAGCCAAGTAGCTGCTAACTCAGCTCCAACTGAAGCAGAAATGCCGTGAATATCATTTAACTGCATTTCCTCTGGAGCTGTAGGATGAGTGGTTTTCCAATGGCAAGGATTCCAGTCTTGACCTGTCTTCTGACACTATGGATTTCAATATTCCCTCCCACAATGAAGATCCCCTCTGCCCTCTCCCCTGCACAATAGTAGTCATTTGTACTGTATTCAGTGGCCAGATAGAGGCATTGGCCAACTATCTAGGTTATTCATGAAGTCACACAAAAATGTAAAAAAGCCTATGGAAGATGGGGCTGATGGTCGTGTAGAAATGCCATTCATTTCTTTATCAGTCAATTCCTTGGAAGAAAAAAAATCTTATTTGGCCAAAATCTAGGCACTTCATTAATAATTATGCATAAAAAAGGCTTCCAGTTTGCCATTGCGGCCGCTGTGGCCGCTGGAAGGAGAGCTCCGTCTTCCACGTTCGGTTTCACTCCGCAGGGGGATCCTGGAAAGGGTCAAAAGTCACCCTGTAGGGGCGACGAGCAAGGAGGGCACCCTGCTTGATCGTGGGAGGGCGGCAGCCCTTCCGCTTGATCTGGGGTAGCCCTCCAAAACGGCAGAGGAAAGACCGGCCATAGCAATATGGCTCGTCACCAGGATGCTATTTGTTTAATACTTAAAAATTAGACCCAAAGAAAAAAAATATTATGAATATGTTTGATATATTAACTCAGATAATATATATAATGGGCTTTGATTTATTTAAAGGGGATACTGTATTATTAATTAGATGATGTAAGATGGGGGGAAATAGATGACTTCTAGGAAATAGAACAAGATTATACCCAAATAGATAAGATGTATATTTTGAATATTAGATTCTGTTATGAATTGAGATAAAGGAAACTTTGGTTACCTAAAACCTAGAAATTATAAATATCAAATGTTAAATTTGAATATTGATGGGAAACTAAAAATTGGAAAAAACCAAAAACAGGACATTGAATGTAAAAGTAATTAAGATATGTATGAGCTAAAATTTATTGATAAATGTAATAATGATGTTTTTATTTAGTTGATATAATAAGAACTGTATTAACTTAAATATGAGATAGCAGATATTAAGGGAAAAAGAGAGGAAATATTTGAGGTTGTAGTTTGAAATTTGTACTAAAGATTTTTATGCTACTGACCTATTGATTAACCTAGCCACCATGTTGCTTTTTAAATACCTAAATGTAAAATTAGAAAATTAATAAAAATATTATTAAAAAAATATGCATAAAAAGATAAAAGGAAAAATCTTTTCATCTCACCATAGTTAAAATGGATTAATATTGACCCAGCCTTAACATAGAAGTGAAATAAGTTTCAAGAAGGAAGGAAGGAAGGAAGGAAGGAAGGAAGGAAGGAAGGAAGGAAAGAAAGAAAGAAAGAAAGAAAGAAAGAAAGAAAGAAAGAAAGAAAGAAAGAAAGAAAGAAAGAACGAACGAACTTGATTTTGGAAATGTTAATGTTATTGCACTTGAAAGATGTAATTAGTATATGATGCAAAACAATAGATGAGTCAGAAACAAAAAGGGCTTTCAGACTCACAGGCAGAAAAACCTATGATTATATAATCTCAGTTAATAAAATTGTATGTAAATAACCAAAGGAGACAAAGCTAATGACATAATAAGATGTAGCAATGGAAAAGGAACTAATGGGACAGGGAAGTAAAATAAGCAATCCAAAGCTTTTCAAGCCAAATATTTACTGAATAACCTACATAAGCCAAATATTCACTGTTTGAAAAAACCTACATAAAGCCTTTGCCTCAAGAGGATATTTATATTTTATTGTGAACTTTCTTATTTTCCAAAAAGTATAGGAAGAATTAAGTGCTAGAATATCAGCTCCCAACAATCAAGAAATACATTACCATATTGGACAATATTGTCATGGAATTTTATTTTGTATCCAGATGGATATAAAATAAGTTCATATGTTATCAATCACTTCATATGTTACCGATAGTATCATATTCTACATATTACACTGACACTTGAACAATGTTTCTCAATCTTGGCAAATTTAAGATGTGTGGACTCCCAGAATTCCCCAGCCAATCATTGGAGTTAAAATCCACATATCTTAAAGATAGCAAGGTTGAGAAACACCGCACTAGAAGAATATGATTTCTTTCTAAAGTGTGACTAGGATACCAAAAGGCATAGTGTAGTAAAGGAGCACAGAAAATAATTTATGCAAAACTAAGTGACAGTTAATGGGAATACAAAGATAGATAACTATTGTGTGCAACAGACACAGCAACCAAAATACCAACTAACATCTTGCTAATAAATGCAGATCTCTTCAAGCTGTTCTGCTGGGTGAACATGCTTCTTGATTCCTGCCAAATCATTTTGCTTGAGCTATCATATAAACCAGCACTTCCTGGATATGCTCTTTTGTCAGGACTGGAAGAGCCTTTGTTCACATACAGCAGCCCTGAGGTCTTAACAAAATATTTTACATTGAGTAGGAAGGATTGCCATGGTTTGTAGCCGCTGGCATTATTAAACATCTTTCTAGGGATATTGAACTGGTACTGCATCTAAGTGCCAAACTCAAAGGACTATACGTTTAGATCTTCCAATACATTCTCAGTATTTTCAGACTGGTATTCCATTTTGGGGTTGTTGTTTTTTAATCTGGTTGAATTTGGGGTTGGCAAGATAGGATATACAGGCACAAGGATCCATCGATCATCCAGGTTATTTTAAATATATATTTTTAATAACTCTTTTTTGCATTTCATGAGACGTCTATGTTCCTATGTTATATAATGGAAGTAAGATTACTGAAATATTTGAAATTTCACAAATTTTCAAGCAACTGTTAAAGAGTATTTATGTGTGCAGGTTGCACAGGATGTCACATTCCATATAGAGAGCTGCTGAACCCTGTTATAAACTCTGTATATTCAAAATGCACAGATCCTCATGATGGCAGAAGAGGAGAAAGTTTACATAGCAACAGATGCAATTCATTTCCTTGATACACCATTACCAATTAACTAACCAGAAATTCAGATGCTTACCATTATGCGACATTCCGACTGCAAGGCACTTTTGGAATCGGCAATATTGACATTTATTTCTACTTTTTTTATGAATGCGGCAGTTGAGGTCACATCGGTCATATATTAATTTTAAACGGATTGTTCTACGAAAGAAACCCTTTAATAAAATAAAGGAATACAGAAAATATTAGCCAAAAGGAATTTCCCACTATATCATATTTGATCTGAAAGCCAACCATGTATTTTTGGCCAGAAATATTTTCATTTTATTGTGGATTTGATCACAATCTGTAATATTTTTTGAAATTTGATTTCTCAGTACTCATTCAGAGCAGATCAATATGGTGTGTATGTGTCTTTTAAATATTAACATTAAAGGTACTCTTTTTAATTCCAGTGTAATTTACTTTATGGTAAGTTCAATGTAGCTTAGTTAAGATAATCTACAAGAGTTAAGTATACTAAATAGAGAACTTGTGTGGGCACATGCATGGAATAATTTTCTAGCTTGTTATTTATAATTCTGCAAAACATTTTAAATACTCATGTAATAAATTGTATTAAATTATGGTTTCTGGGAAAGTGATATGTTTAATAGAGAAGGCTTTTTAATAAATTTATTTATTTAATAAATAAATTTTAATAAATAAATTAGTAAATATAACAAAATGTTAAGATTGAACATGGTTTGGGGGTCTACAGTGATATATCTTAAAAGGTTGTATTTATCTCATAGCTTGGAGTGCATGAGAAACACTTTTTTTACTTTGTCTTACTTCCTGTTTGAAATATATTTGTCTAATTAGAATATTACACTTCAGCTTTTTTCTGCCCTTTAGTATACCCTGAAACAGCAAGCACAATTACCAATTTAGCTTTTTTTCTAACAATTCTAAAAATGTGATTAACAACAGAAAGTTAGCTTGTAAAATATACTTTTAGAAAAGTATGTCCCTTACTTCATTTGCCCATTAGTTAAAACAGACAAGGAATTTTTAGTTAAAACTAACTCAGATGATGTTTTAGGCTCTATTAATACAAAATAATCAGAAGCAGCATGTTCTAGCATGTCTTAGAAAAGAAATAAACTGAATTTGTTGAATTAGAATTCTTATCTTTGATTATTGATATAATGGTGAGGGCTGATAGCAGTGGGGGGATTCAGCTGGTTTGCACCAGTTCAGTAGAACCAGTAGCTATTTTTTTGTTGAGTTCGGCGAACTGGCTGAATCCCACTACTGGATGGCGTCCCCTGAAGCCCTAGCCCTTTTTTGCAAGGCCCAGAACGGCCCACCAGAAATGCGTGAACGCTGCTTCCAGAAGTTCCTTCTGGGCCTCGGAGGCCCAGGCCCAGAACGGACTTCCAGAAGCAGCGTCCACACAGAGAATCAGTTGTTCACATATTTGAATCCCACCACTGGCTGATAGTATTTTAAAGTAATAAAGAAATATATTTTAAAAAGAATCATGCATTATTATAACTACCTACCTTGCAACCTTCGCATGCATGCACTCCATAATGAAACCCAGAAGCTTTGTCCCCACACACTCTGCATTCAATAGCCATGAGAGAACTAGAGGCTTCTTCATGAGGTTTACTGTACATCTGAAGTTTTTCTGAGAAATATGGTGGAGACGGAGGTTCCACTTTAATTGCATCTAAATAAGAGGAAGATTTCAAAAGAAAGATTAACCAAACCCTTGATTATTACCAATTAGCTCTAATAAGTATTACCAATCTGAATGTATTCAAGATTCAGATATTTTAAAAAATATATATAATATATAGTTACTGACATCAGCAACCGGGAATCTGAATTATTAACTAATTTTGTTGGATAGATATCTCAGGTATGAACTCCCAAAAGACCTTAAACAATTCACTGACCAGACTATGGCCTAATTCTCATAAATGAGATTTAACCCCCACCCCCACTCCCAACCTTCCTTTTCTCTTCCCCAAATGCATTGTGAGTCCATTTTATATTTCTTCATGTATCATATGCAGAACTTTTTTTATGCCATTCTAGTGGTAGAAGCTAAAATAAAACATTGGTGACCGCCAATTATATTATCTTTCTAAAGCATAATTTGAAATCCTATTCAAAACATAGTTTCAACTATAGTAAACACAATATTTTCATATTTTTTTAAAACTGTAATACTGAAAAGACCAGTGTCCAGGGGAAGGGGCTGAGATTTGCCCACATATCCTGCTGATACTTCTCAGGCTAGTTCCTTATACTAAAACATGGGAATAATATCCTTTAGAATTTCTATACATTTCTATATATTTCATAATATATACTATATACTATGAAAGTATGAATAGGACTTTTCAAAATGAATAATTACATCTGTATAACTAGTACAGGCTTCTGTATAAAGTGCTATGAAATAATTGTCTAGCATAATAAACATATTGGTGTCAATTAAGCATCTTATACATGCCTCAGTTCATAAAATCAAGTGTGGGCTTTCAAAAGGAGCATGCCATTAACTGTTGATTTGGGATATTATTTAAAAATCCCATGGCAAATCCTAAGCCATTATGCCTCCAAAGTCATATTAAACATTAAGCGGCATCTAATACTTTGGAACAGGAAGACTGTGTTGCCCCAGATGTTAACATGCTCTACTAAATTATTCTTCTCTAAAAATTGTGCTGAGTGAAAAAAAAAAACTACAGTTCTTCAACCATGAAGTAGAAAGTAGACTGTTAGTTTTCCCAATCCTGCTTCATGTATTACACAGATTGGTTACACAATCTTTGCTTTAGTGCACATTAATTCCAAGAATAAAAAGTATTTGTTGTATTCTTTTATATTTTTATTGCACTACTAATTTTGAAATTCAGTTAGTGAGCCATAAAAAATAAATAAAAAAGAATTATAAATCTAATGCTGCTTCTTAGTGTATCTTTCAACCAGCAAGTACTACATTAGTTCCCTGTGAATTCTATACTGTCAGATCTATAATGTCAGATCTTTTATATTTCATCTTTTCTCTTGCCAGAATTGAAACCACTTCAGACATTTAGAGAGGCCCTGCTGATGATAAGCATTTGAAATATGTGGGTGACAGGCTTTGTGACAATCGCCCCATCAGAGATAAACACGGCCATTACTTTATTAGCCTTTCCCAAAACAACTAAATGGGGTGAAGTTTCAGGAGGCTACAGCACCAGTTGATTAAAGGATGGTGGCTACCATAGGTATAGATTAAAGATGTGTACTCTTGATTGTCTTTGATTTTTGTATTTGTGTCCCATCCACAATATTCCAACTGGGGTGGGATATGAATATTGTGAATCAATCTTAGTTAAAATTACCAATTTATGAACTAGTATTTGCTTATTTGTTTGTTTGTTAAATGTATTTTCCACCCATTTTGCCAAGGGGCTACTCTGGACAGCTTACAACAGTAAAAACAGAGAAATAAAGAGTAAAAATAACAGTATCAAAGTAATGAAATAATAAAGATAAACAATGGAATAAACAATAAAGGTACAGTAATATCAGATTAAAAATGAATGGGGGGGGGAACTCAAGGAGCACAGAAGAGAGGTGGGTTTATCTTTGATATACTTTACAGCCCACTTAAATGTACATAACTTTAGAATAATAAAAATTGCTTTCCCAAACTTTTAAATTGATTACGTGTACACAAAGTGATAGTCTTTTGTTGCAAAGGCCAAGCAACAGATTTTTTATTCTATAAGCTTAAAATATGTATTGATTGTACCACAGAGTCTTTTTTGTAGGTCCTACTGGCCTCAAATTCATGGTATAGCAACAAAACAAGAATTTACAACATGGTATAAATTATCAACCCCCCTATCAATCAATCAGTGGCCTTCTACCATGGAAGAATATATTTATATTTATCTGTATCCCAGACTGTATAAAGCAAAATTTTTCAAACTGTGTTCAGTTGATGGAGTTTTGTGAAAGACTTAAGGGGAAAAAAATCCACTTCAGTGCAGCCATTTTTTTTAATCATTTGAGTTTTGCCTCCAGATCGGTGGGGGGGGTGGGGTGTTGGGGAATTTTTTTTAAACTAACAGGTTTCACAACCTGAAAACCCCTGATTTATTTTCTAGCTATTTGCTAGTTAATTTATAAGCTGTAGTGTTTGATACCAACTAAAGCTGAACACTCTTCCATTAATTACAATGATCAAGTCATAAAAAGCTTACATACTTTGACAATCTTGAAATTTCACATCATATTTATAGTCAAGGGCTATCTGGTCAGTTCTTGCAAGAGGGAGGTCCTCATAATGTGGAGAAGAAAGGCTGGAAAAATCAACGGTGCTGAAGGGCTTTATGTCAAATGCATGGGAGTGTTCATCCATTGTAGAAAGATCGACGGGGCTAATACCAAAGTTCATGGGCCAAAACGGCATTTCGGTATCAACCATTGTAAAACCTGAAATTAAAAAGAAAGAGGGGAAAAAAGTGAGACTCAGTATTTATAAAAAAAAAGTTATATCACTACAATTACATTTACATCCTGGAAAAATAATGAACAGAGCCACAAATACTCAGAAGTCCTGGTGTGACACAATTCTGTAAAGATTTTTAAAAGCAACACTTATCAACAGTATATGAATGTTTGAAAATCTTCTGTTTTAGTGGTTATTTTTTTTATTAATATCAGGAGTGGTATGTTGGATTTTTCCCCCTGGGGGAAGGAAATCCAATACATTTAGGGAGGGAATAAATAATCAACAAATATATAATCTACCAGGAAGTTTATTATCATTAGTATGACTAAATTAATTTTAGTGGGAATTGTGTGGGAGAGCTTCCTGTAGATTACATTCAATGTGGATATTATTTAATTGCTTATTTGAAAGTCATACTTTATAAGCTGGAAAATCAGCCCCTAAAACAAGGTGCAATTATGACTGATTGTGAGTGTATACTTTACATATGTTCAAAACCTTTAAATATCACTTAAATTAATTCTTCTACAAATGCATTATTGCTGTTGTCACTCTATAAATCATGATCCATTTGACCTTTGCTTGAGATCCTCAATATGATGCTTTTGCAGTTAAAAAAAATATCAAGTAGAAAAAGGTGTGATATAAGATGGTGATAGTTATGCCAAGGTATAGATAGTTATGCCAAGACAGCTATGGAGAATTGGATCTGGTTAAAGACATGGTTAATGGTTAAGAATCCTAAGCCTGCAGACTAGATTAGAAAGTAGAAACATCACCACAGAAGGTGGCCATGGCTCACAAATTCTGTACAGTTGTCAAGAAAACTACATAGATGTCCCAGATACTAATTAGGAGGGGACTTGTTATTGCAGTATTTAAACCATTTTGCTCAGCAGAATTAAGTTGTGCCCATAGAACATAGCACAACTATTCTTTCATACAAGAATTACTTTTTCAGACAGAATGCTGCCTATAACTGTAAAGAGAAGTCAACTTTGGACTTCAAGACAAATGAACAGACTCCACATAATGCACCAACAACCACTATATTTTTGTATTTGCCTAGTACTGGAAATCCAGTAATTGGTCCCCAAGTCTGGAATGGTAAAGTACTCATATCTAAATTAGCATCAGATTAGATCTTATTAATAATCCTAAAAAAATAAGAAAACACACACTGCATACCAGTTTGAAAAGAGGAGAGACAGAGGCAAGAAAGCAATGTGTTTGCCAAGACCACAAGTGAACACTTACTTTTAGGCATATATAATGCCAGCTTTGAAATAGGCAACTGCATAATTAGTACCAGAGATATATGATATGATATGCACACATACACACATAGGTGTGTGCAAGAGTAGAACTGTACATCACAGAGCCATATATATATGCCTACATAAACATAGAAAGCTGACCGTATTTGGCTTGATATTTCATTTGAAACTTGGAATACTAGCATGCATGGACTTTACACCTTTATGTAATAAAAACTGGTTTGGCTCTGTTTACTTTGAACCAGCCAGCACTACCCTGCTTTCCTTCCAAAAAATGGTTTTTAAAACAGCAGCAATGGTCTATCGACTGTAATCACATTAGACTCGGGAGGAGAGGCTTTTGTCAACGTTTAACTTCCTCGGTGACATATGCAAACATATCACTGGCCCTGGGTGTCCCAACTCTGGTAAAAGATGTACCCTGTGACCTGGGTGAGTCTGGACATGTCTTAAAGTTGCACACTTCTTTGAAAATTCTCCTCCCCCCTCCTCCTCCTCCATCAGTATTTTCTGCTGAACAAATAATTTTCTCAGCAGGGTGGAAAACTCCTTTTAAAAAGTGATTTCAATATTTTCAATTGAAAAAAAAAACTTCTGTTGATGCATATATATAAAAAAAAAAAATCTGAAAAGCAGAGGAATATATGGGCAGTCAGTCTCTCTCAGCCCTACCTACTTCTGCTCATAGGGTTGTTGAGGCCAACATGTCTGGCCAACTTGTCCCAGCTGATTCGCCCTGGCCGACTTGCCACAGGACAATTTGCTGCGGGACAATTCAACACAGGATAACTTAAGAGAGGGACAGGTTAAATGCAGTGGGCGCTGTCTTGCTTTAGATTTGAACCTTCTCAAGTTAGAAGTCCTCAAGGCTGGGGGTGAGCTGCAATTCTACTTGTTCCTCTCTTGAGTTATCCAGTGTTGAATTGTCCCCTAGTGAGTTGCCTTGGCGAGTTGGCCATGACAAATTGGCTGGGATCAGTTGTCCTATTCTGGGGTGGTTGTGGGGAACAATGTGCAGAGGGAACATTAACTATGCTTCTGGAGCTCTTGAGGAATGGGGGCGATATAAATATGCGTCTACAGTACATACATTATATTTCAACAAAATGATACATCAGTGATTTAACCAAGGATCCCTAGAAATTCTATGACTGACAAATTGCGCCACTCAGTCTTTGTGCTGTCAACATTCAGCAGTGCAATTTCCTGGGGCTAAAATTCCTGAAGGAGGAATTTCAAGGCTGCATATGGTCAATGGGCAAAGGATTGCCAACTCCTAGTTCAGGGGTAGGCAACCTCGGCTCTTTTATGACTCATGGACTTCAACTCCCAGAATTCCTGAGTCAGCTATGGGGAAGGAGGGTTAGGACTATCCTGCCATTTTTCCAACACTCAAATCTACATTAATTTTTTATTGCTCCTGGGAAGCCATTAATCAAAGATAAAGACTCCTAGTCACCACATAGCCTTCTCCATCGGAACCCACCATGTGAGACCAATAATTATAATTTTGAGCCTGGTGTTCCTTCCATATCAGGTTTTATCCAGGTTTTGCAGAAAATGATTGAATTTACATAAAGGTCAGAAGTGTTAAAAGTGACCGATACTGTCCTTTTGGTTTGAGGAAATGCTGCATGTGGCATAACTATGGCCAAAAATGGCAGTCTAGTCTATACTTTATCTTATGAAAGCATTATAAGAAAGCTCAGGTGACCAAAGACCTGACAGGCAAAAGAAAATGTCAGTGTCAAAGTTCATCTGGTGACAATTATGGTATATGGAAAATTGCGACTTTGCATGTTCTATAAAAGGCAAAGAGCATGAATTAATGAATGATCTTAATGAAGATATTCAATACTTGTGGTCTGTAGCTAATGCTCCTGGAAACACAGGAAATTGGGCGGGTAGGCTTAATTATGAGAGGAACAGCTAAAATGTATGTCAGAAAATATGATCTAATATCATCTAGGTTGTTATGGAGCAAATAAAAGCTAGAAATCCAAAGTTTGGTGATAATTGTGCGTGACACTCAATGATAATGTAAGAACCAGAAATGAGCTATGACAAACAGATGCACTATTTTGAAGACAACTCTATGGGGTAAAATTGTTAGGTTGATATGTATGAATTAGGAAAGATCATTCAAAAAAAGTGACTGGTCATTCAGCGATCCAAGAATTAATAAGAATGGTGACTGTTAGGTACATGATTAGAAAAAGGGCTGTTTCAAATACAAGGTTTAATGATAAGTCTATCTACATGGACACATGGCAATGGAATGAATATAAATTTAAAAGCATGATTGATTTGAGAGATTATGATGAAGAAAAATGCCTATAAGAAGAGAGGAAAGAAGTGAAAGAAACAAGAGTAAAAGTAGAATAGTAGGAAGAGAACATACATATCCTACATTAGTGGTTAAGGCAGTGGTTCTCAACCTGTGGGTCGGGACCCCATTTGGGGTCGATCGACCATTTCACGGGGGTCACCAAGCAAGGCTGTCCGCCATTTTTTTGTCCGCCATTTTTTCTGTCTGCCATTTTTTTCCCTTTTCCGGCGGGTGCCTTACCTCCCTTGGGCTGGGCCAGCTGGTGGTCAGCCTGCTCCGTCTCTGCCGCTTGCCAGCTATGCCTCGGCCGGCGCAGGGGGCGGAACCACGCATGCGCGGCGCTCCTGGGCAGGGAAAGTCCTCGACTTACGACCGATTGGGTAGTCCTCGACTTATGATCGGTTTAGTCCTCGACTTACGACCGGTTGGGGTCGCGGCATTAAAAAGGTTGAGAACCACTGGGTTAAGGTACCAGGCTAGCAACCAAAAACTGTGAGTTGTAGTCCTGCATTAGGCACAAAGTCAATTGGGTGACCTTGAATCAGTCACTCTTTCTTAGCTCTAGAAAGCAGGCAATGGCAAACCTCTTCTGAAAATCTTGTCAAGAAAATGGCAGGACAGGCAGTCATCAGGAGTCAAAACTGACTTGAAAGCACATACACATGTATAAAAATTCCCGGATCATAACCACTGGACATAAGAAAAAAATGTAGAAACTGGAATAGAGTGAAAAGAATGATTTTACAGTGAGCTACAGAAGCATGTGGAGCTACAGTATATAAAAGCCCAGTGTGGATAAGGATGCTCAGTACACCTGTTGCAATAAAAGAGGCTCTGGATGAGAAAGAATTTCATATGAGAACATAACTGAGATTAAAAAATAGAAAAAGATAATTGTATGCAATGTAGCTAAGAGAACAAAACTGCTAAATTTAAAAGTGCCCAATAAAATGCAGAGTGATTTTGAAAGAAAAAAAAAATAGGTTTGGAAATGGCTGAAAAGTCAAAAGAAAGAATTCTAGCAGGATGGATGGACCTAAAAATAATAAAAGTGGTGAAATGATCTGGGATGAAACTAAAATGAATGGATGGTAGACAGAGTGCATTAGAGATTTTACAAGAATTATAGAGATGTGTTGAAAAGAAAAATGTTTGGGAATATTAGTGTTCAAGAAAAATAGATGAAAAGAAATGCAGTGAGAATATTAGAAAACTCTAAGCTTGGAAAAAATGCTGAATGGTGCTGATATAAATGAGTTATAGGTGTGTTTCCTTTTCTCATCTCATACCTTAATTCCTTTGGCTTATAATTTCTTACTCCTTATCTGTGCTGTATATAATGTTGCTTATCCCAGAAAAGAACACAATTAATATGTAAGAAT